AATAATGTGCACGAGAACAAAACTTGCATGAACTCTTGCTTTGCTTTCATAAAAGTATTTGTTGTTGTTGTAAGCTAGATTTTTAAGTCTCATTTTTCTTCCCTTTCTTTACCTACCAACATTTCAAATTTTTTCTTATGATTTGTTTCATAATAGCGATGTAAGTTGTGTTCTTTTGAAACTTATATTTCCTTATTATAAATAAAACTTATGTTATCAGACACAGCACCATAGAAGTATGTTGATTTTCCATTTAACTTGCAAAACACCTCTATCTTCTGCAGCTTTCTTTTACCCTTTGTTAAAGATATGCCTTGCGATTTAATCTTTAAATTAAACTTATGATTATAATTTTATTTACTCCTTTAATTCAATAAGATAAATTTCCGTTTGAAAGGAACACTTAAATGTTTCATTCAGTTTCAAATGATTGGTATTGATGTAATGTAGATCTGACAACAAGCACAAGTAACAGGTATTACAAGCCTTACATTTTAGATTTATCTCGAGCTATTTAGGAATAATTTCATAGCTCTATATTTAGCTTAACCAATTAGTGACTGAAGCAAAATAAAAGCAACAACTTATTAGGGGGGAAAAGGACATACCAGAAAATAAACGTTTTACCTGTTGTTAGCTGATCAATAAATTTATTGATTGTAGCCACATTTACCTTACCCTAGTGGCCTGGCATGCAAGAATACCAAGTTCGTAATTTTTTCATTTAACTCACTTCGTAAATCTGTTAATTTTCTGTCTTTTTCATTCAGTAGCAATTGTGCATATAAGCACAATTCGTATGTTTCTAATGTTGTGTATCTTTGTATTTTAAATTGCCAAGATGCAGTGATTTATATCCTTTTTTTTCTTCTTAGCTTCTTTTGCAGGTCTGCCAGAGTGCTGTTATATATTCATTACATATGTACATTTGGCTGTATGCTAGAACGATCTTAGAACTCAGTTTGAATGTCGTGACTTCTGAAACGAAATGTTTTTCTATTTTCTTAACCCCTTAACTGCCACGGGCATATTTATCCGCCTTACTCAGTCGATGTGTTAACTGCCACGGATGTATATATACGCCTTTCCAAAATACTATCATTTGCTTTGCGCTGCTACCCGTAAAATTATTCACAAAGCTTTGGAATACAACATCACAGTGACCTTGACAAAGTATGCAAAGGAGGATACTATTTCAGAGAAGTGTGGGAAGAAATTGGAGAAAGGGGTGTGTCTAAAGCGATGAAAGTAATGACTGCGCGGTATTGGCTGGTGTTGTTTGAGTAAAACTTTTTTTTTTTATTCTATGTCCTCTGTTTTCGTTTACTTTTTGTAGTAGGTTCCAGGAATAAAGAAAGATATAGCGGATGCTTCAAATCCTTTTATCTTTTTTGAATTATTTTTGATGAAGTGCTCGTGCTTCATATTGTTACTGAAACTAACCGTTTTGTAGATGAGTATATGAACCAACACCTTGCAAACGAAAAATCAAGAACAAAATCATGGCATTCAACCAGTTCAGAAAAAATGTATGTTTATTTAGGCATACTGACTTCACAAGGTATAATACTAAAACCTGATGGTACACTTTACTGGTCTAAAAATGAATTGATCGGAACTCCATTTTAGGGATCTTTTTTATTATAAAAACATCATTTTTATTATACTTACATCTTTTTATTATACTTTACTCAAAACATTAAATTTTGTGCATTCATTTTTTTTCTTTTATTCTTTATTTTGTGAAAGTAAACAGTTTTTAGAAAGTAAAACTTGCACTTATTTTCTCCCTAATACATCGCATAACTATGCACGCCTGTGTGAAAACCATGGCACTGGGAAATGAATCTTGTATGTTTTCTGTGGCATTTAAAGGGTTAATAAACACTACACTGCAATACATTTGCCAATGAATTTATGCTGTATCAAAATCTGTAAATACTGTGTTAAAACAACTACGTAACTGAAATGAATTTGGCAGGCTGCATAAAATTGCTTTGGATGCCATGTGTGGCCTGTGGGCTTCCAGTTCAAGTCCACTGGAACATGTAAAATTAATTCCTAGTTTTTATTCAGATATACATCTCAAGTTTTCAAGTTTTTTTATTTCACAATAGTGTTTAACAGAGTGGCAAAAATGTTCGGTGAACCAATACTGGAAAATTTTCATTAGTTATCTATATTTTTTTTATTACACTCTCAGATTACAGGTAAAGTTGATTTTGATATTCCTTTCATCGCTGTTGGGTTTTTGGACTGATAAACAAGAAGTGGCTTTAGTTTGAAGTCTCTGTTGGCATTAGCACCCAGGAGAAGTGTTAGGCGATCTTTTGCAACTTTAACACGTTAACAGTGACGCAGATATTCATTGTTCTTTCGCACTTGAATTAGCAGTCTGTTTTGTAATCCGCCCATTTTGTACCCCCTAGTGAAGTAATAATAACAAAAAGAAAAGAAAAATTTTTAATTTGTGCAAAGGATCTGCGAAAAAGATGAGAAAGTGATACAAAGAATGCTATAAATGCTTAGCAAGCCTAAAAGGTGCTCTGTGCGCCACAGAGTAAAGAAAGTAACAATACATTGAGATAATTGTAAGGGTAAGCCAGCACTTTGTTTAGCCTGCTTTAAAAAATTGCATTAAAAAATTCATATTTAATTTATAAGTTACATTTTAAGTTATTTGTTTTGTATTGAATGTTTGATTATAATGTTGAAATGTTAATGTATACTGTTGAATAATTAAAATAAAATAAAATTTTGTACTATGTATTATTTGATATACAAGCATGACCCAGTCATGCCAGCCTGCGGAACAGATGGGCCATACCATCCCACGGAACGGACAAGTAAGACCCACCGGTGGGTCAGGCATGCGTCAACATGTTAAATCCTGTTGAACGTTTTTTTCGTGGGATAGAAATGTATGTTTTGACATTCTTTTCCAAAATATACCTGTTTCATAGGCATTCAAAACTAATTCTGGAGGATAGTTTCCTTTTTCATTTGTTTATATTGTTGCAGGGAATTCTACCACCGCTTTTATATCTCCACTTGCTGCTTCTCCTATAATCTGTATGTTATGAAGATTACTTTAGTGTTTTAAATCTATTAAACTGTCCTTGACTTGAAGAAAAGTTCCAGTTGTATCACCTCAATCTGAATGTGATTAAAAAATTTTCTTGCCTTTTCCATTATAATAGTTTCCCTTAATGGCATATTGCGTTCAGTTTCGTTATCAATCCATATAGAAAATGGTTTTTACATCTGCTCTATCATATCATTTCTAAAACAGATTATTCTAGTTGCAAAGGTTTTTGTGGTTGTAATTGATGACCCTTTTTTCTTTATTCTTAAAAACTGCCCTGTTGAAGTTGACATATTCAGTGTAACACCAATTTGACATTGAGGTTCACCACTATCTTCTAAGCACTTCCATTTTAGTTTCTAATGAAATGCTTTTTCTCGTCACTTTATTATCACCTATATTAGAAGATAAAAATTATAATATTTATGACTGTATCAGTCATTAAATTACATAAATTTATACTTAAGAAACAGCAGCAAATGTTTGAAATAATAAAAATACGTTTGTGTATGAGGGTAAGTTCTCGGCCTGACACTGAAAGACTGCAACTTTCAGTTAAGAAAAGATTTTTTCTACATAACCTTCCTTGACTTCAACACACTTGGTCTAGAATTCCTCCAACATCAGTATTCCTTCCCGGAAGTAAGAGTCTGGAAGGTTGTGAAAATATTCATCTATGACCCTCTCAACTTCTTCATTGGATGCAAAGTGCTTCCCAGAAACAAATTTCTTCAAGTTTGGGAAATTTCTTTTAGTAATTATCTTTGCATCTAATTAGTGTTTTGACATGCTGTAAAACTATTTCTCTCTAAATCAGACAGTCCATAAGAAAAAGATAAGAAAGTGTAAGATATTTGTATTGACAAGAGAAATTATAATAGAATGAGTATTTATAACAGAGACAAGCATTTAGCATCGCACGGGCACAGCATAGGGCCCACCAGCGACTGAGCAGTCGCTAACACTGGTAGTTTGATCCGAGATTCAAGTCCCCAAATGAGCTAGCTACGTGGGTGTTTTCATGGTTTTTCCCCATGTCTAATGTATATACAAGCCAGTTTCCCTTAGAAAGTCCTCTAGGTTTTTCCGCGATCTCAATAAACCAAACTCATGACCACAACAACAATCTTTGATTAAATACACTTCCTTTAATTTTCAAAACATGAATTGATATTAATTGTGATGGCCAAGTGCATCCCCCCCCAAAAAAAAAAAACTTGGAAAAAAACTTATTATTTTTTATTCTGGTACCATTTGATTCATTAGTGTCATCTAATATGGTCCTATTGAGTAATGGACTTCATATATGGCTGTATATCAAAAATAAATTTTCAAAAAGTTCTAGAATGTACATGAAGAAGTTCTAGAATATAGCCAAACTTGAAATTTAACGGAAAAGACAAAAGAGAAAACAGTGACAAAGAGGTTTTGTTACTTAAACTGTGAGGAGAAACATTCTAGTATTTAGCATGCACAAAAACTTTGAAGGGCTTCTCCCCCTTAATAAAATCCATTTAGAACAGTTACATATAATTTTCAGTTTACTGTTGGTAAAGGCTGCAAGTAGGCATAGATCTTAGGATTTTAGGTATAAATAATGCTGAAGTTTTTCTTCTCATTGATATGTATTTTTTGCTTAATTGTCATATAAATAAGCATTATGTGGTAAAATGTATTTGAGATACCTATGTTACTTGATATTTTTTACAGAACTTTTTTTGTAGTTTATATGTTAATTTAATGAATCCATTTACATTTCATCTAAATAGTTTTTGATTATTTCTATAGTGATTGATATTTATTGCTAATTCAAGTAGTAGTGTGTTTGAAGCTTAACATGTTTCATTTCTGTATTATTACAGTATGATTATGAATGTGATGAAAATTACAACACTGTAATTGTTTTATGTTTTAGGAGAACATGGCCGACAAGACTCTATGGATTTAGATGATAAATGGAGCAATGAATGTCACTGCAAACCCAGTGCCAACTTGAAGCCTCTTGAAAGGAGACGTAAAAGAGAACATCAAAGATGCTTAGCTCATTCTTTAGTGGGAACTCCTAATTATATTGCTCCTGAAGTCTTGCTCAAAACAGGTAAATATTTCATAGCTGTAGTATATTTATCTAATTGTTTAATGCAAAAGTTACTGAATATTTATGAATGTTCCATTATTTTTCTGTCAGTATTTAATAACTTCTTAATTTGCAAGATTAATTGAAAACTTGTGTTCTTGGTATTATAATATTAATATATTTAAAATACCAGCAAGAATGCGTGGAAGTTTCCTATTCATAATTTTTGGGATTTTTTAATTCAAACTTACGACTGCATATTTTTAAATTGTAAGGTAAATCAAAATTTTTCCTTTAGCATTTGAAAATAAAATGTTCATACATTTTAATAATAATATTTAAATTGAAATTAAGCTATCTCAAGACATCTTACTTGTTTGTGAAAATATGTTTGGGGACAGCATTATTATTATTATTTTCTTTGTGATTAATACTTGCTAGAATGTCAGAAGTATCATAACATTTTGATGTCCTCTGTTTTTATTACTTTGAATTATAAGATATTTCCAGAAAAATTAATTTGGTTCTTATTCCTGTTAACCTTCCAGCACATGCGTCATGCACAAAGTTTATGACATATTCAGTTTTTAATGAACAGTTTTCGCATATTGCAGTTGAAACATCTGAAAGTCATTTCTATTCTCCCTTTCAACCATTCCCCACATCATAGAATGTGCCAACAAGATGTCTTATGCTTCTCTCTTTTTTTTTTTTTTTTTTTTTTACTGGGCTTATGTGGTAACTTCTTCATAGAAGTTATGACACATGCGTGGTCGTGGGTGAAAATTCTAAAAAATTTTTTGTCAAATATTTTGTGCTACTAATTGACGTGCATTATTTTAATTTATATAAATTCGTCTCTGTATTTTTTTGGCAAAACAATATCTGCAACCAGCTGATTTTGCTCGCATTCTTCAAGAAGTATCTGATGAAGAAAGAAAAGACAAGGAAACCTTTGGATGTGAGAACAATATCGATTTGAGTGAGGAAAATATCAAGATAAATAAGATCAGCAGTGAATCTGAACAATAAATTTCGGATGATGATGATAATAATGATATAGAAAAAAAGAAATGATGATGATATGTTCTATGTTTGTAAGGATAAATCTTCTAAGTGGCGAAAACAGAAGTACGCAAACTGTTCCAAGTCGAATAAAATGAATATTGTGAAAGTGCTACCTGGCCTAAATCACCATACCAAGGATATAGAAGATGAAATAGGATCATTTTTGAAAATAATAAATGTAAATATGCTTGATGAAATTTTGGAATGTACAAATAAATATGTAAGTTTGCTAAAAGGCAAATACTCAAGAGACAGAGACTGCACTGTTACCTCAAGATTGTAAATGATGGCACACTTTGGATTGTTATTTACAATAGGAATAAAAAAAGGACAACATGTAAATGTAAAAGAATTTTTCTGAAGTGATGGTACTAGAACTGAAATAACAAGGGATGTGATGAGCTACAACAGATTTTTATTTCTGACAAGTTGTCTTAGATTTGATGATAAATCAACAATACAGGACAGATGAATATTAAAACTGGCTTGGAGTTTAAAATATAGTTATTAAAGAGTAAATTTAAAATTTTCTATAATGAAATACATAATTGTCTTTTCACCTGACTAATATAAGCATTTAAAAATAATTTGATTTGAATGTGTCATTATTTTTATTTTGCAATAATAAGGTTAATATTTTATTTCTTAACAAATTTATTATCAATATTCACCCATTTATGTCATTTTTCATGTCAAAAATGGTAAAATAACAGATGCCTTAAAAATATGACATGTACGTGCTCATGTAAAATTGCCAAGCGTGAGTGCTGGAAGGTTAGGGGGGGAGAGCAAAAATTGTTAGATGATTTTGAGGTCAGTAGTTTGCGTTATATAAGGGTTTCTGCAAAAGCATTGAATTTATTTCTGGGGCTGACTAGATACCAAATGTTTCAGTGTAATTACAGTTATCTTTAAGGCCATTGTGTATTTTATATCTTCAGCTATTGTTTCTTAAATACGGCCACAGTTAAAAAAATGTATGTTTAAAAACAATGTGTCTGCAAACTATTAATTAATAATTTTCTACTCCCACCTCCATTGACACAGTTTCTTTAATAAAAATTGTCAGTTTTTTTGTTCATGCACTATGCTTTGTAACCTGTAACAATTTTAAACCATTTCAGTTTTCTCTATTCTTGCATAAATGTCCACCAGTTTACTATTTTGGTACTGATGAATGGATGATGGGCACTCAGTGGGAAAATAACTTTCTGAAATCAAGGTGATCATAATGAATAAGGGTGATAATCCCTGGTGTGAAGTTTAGTTGCATATGTGTAATGTGGAGCATCTTCCTCTAATTATGAAGTCAGCAGTAATAATTTTTTCCATCATTGAAGTTGATGGCTTTCATATGTTTTACCATCCAGGGAATTATTCCCCAGTCTAGGTGTCTTTCACACTTGTTTTAGGTATCTGATATAAAGTATTTTTGAACAAGAAAATGGATATTTACTGCTTTATAAGCTTACATAAGTGAAAAATTGGAAACATGTGTTGATGTTATTCATTTAATGCTGAGTATCTCCAAATTTTTAAATGCCTTACCTGTATTGAAAAACACGCAATTAATTAAATGTATTAATTTAATTATAGTTGCTCTTTTGCTACATAAGGAGACACAGAAAATTGAAGGAATGATGTTTAACCCCTTAACCATCACATATTTTTGTGAAAATTTTCCTCAAATTGTTGATTTTTTTTTTATTGCCCTGTTTTATATTAGTCACAAAATTGTAATATCATAATATACAAAATTGTAATTGTAACATCATAAATTGTAATATCATATATGTAATGATATCATTCATTAGTAACATATTTCTTGTAAAATTTTATTACAGAATTTTGAAACAGTATGCAATTGTCTGTTCATTTCTTATTACTTACCTTGTTTGGCGCTTTCTTTACATCACAAATTTCGCATGATGTTTTAGTGCAGAAATTGGTATTATCAAATAATGTAAATACTGCTTTGCTACTTTAAGATGATAATATTATTCACAAAAAATTGCGTACTGTTTTTTAATATTTAAAGCTATGTAGGTATTTAAAATTGTTTTTTCTTTCCCTCAGGTTACACACAGTTATGTGATTGGTGGAGCGTCGGTGTTATTCTTTATGAGATGCTTGTTGGTCAACCTCCATTTTATGCTAACACTCCTGCTGAAACTCAGCTAAAGGTAATTCATTTTAACTATTTGTAATTTATGTAAAATAAACATTTTATGTGTATTAATGTGCATGTGCATTTTTTATTAACAGGCAGTAGCTGAATTAGCTGCCCTTCTTGATATACAAATGACTAAATGTATGTTAAAGTAACATACAGAGAAATAAATTTAAATATTATGCATATTTAAAAAAAAAATTTCTTTACAACATTTGGAAGTATGTTATTATTTTTCTTGTATTTGTTATTACAAAACCATCAGTTACATCTTAGAGGTCTTTTTGGGCTGCCCCAGTTGGTGCAATGTAAATAGTATAGACACATTTCTTAAATGCAAAATAAATTTGTATAGCACTTAAATGCTTCCTAAATGCAAAATAAACATTTTGTAATTCTAAAATACTTCGGAAAGATTTTTGTATAGAAAATTTTTCTCACTACCAGCAGCACTTACAGCAGTTGTAAGGTAAGTTTGCAGTCGAATTAAAATATTAAAAACCTTGTTTTAGAGATTGTATTTTAGAATAAATTACAAAATTCAGAAAGACAGCCCTTCCATATTACTGTTTCATTTTCCCTAGCAGCTATAAATAAAGCTCTTGAAATACTTCTCCCTTAACAAGGAGTTCTTCATTTAGTTGATATTTGTAATTTTCTTTCAATAGTTTTGACAGAATTAAAAAAGGTATAACATGCCAATATAGCCAATGAAATCTCATGGGATTTCTTTGAATACTTTACCACAAGTAGAACTTTTTTTTCTGCAATTTAATTCGGTATACAATTCTTTCATATACAAGTCTTGTATTGTCTGCTGAATAACACATTTATTAAAATTATCAAGTTCACAGTTTCAATCAGCTGGCCTTTTACATTTCTTTCCAGGTGTACTTAGAAATCTCTCTTCACCCATTGTTGATACTTCATGCCCAATTGTTTAATTGTAATTCTGTGATACTGAAGTCAATTAAGATGTTGTTTCTAAAACTTGAGGGAAAGAAACTACTAAAGATGGTGCTGAAGTTTCAAAAATGCAAATTTCTGCAACGTTTTACACGATTTGGTGTGCCCAAGATTTTAAAGGTTGACCTTTCTTAAACTGGCAGAGCATTTTAGAAAACTGGCAGTTATCTAAGACTACAGAAAGCAAGATAAATAGAAACAAATTTTAACAAATACCAATACAAAAGAAATAAGAATGAAAACAGAAATAATTAAAAGTAATTTAAAGGTGTGGAGAGGAGACGCATGCATCTGTGATGAAACCGAGAACATGAATGGTAAATTTGTCTTTCCCTCACCCAGCATTCGCCAAAAACAAAATAACAATAAAGTATTCATTTGGCTCTCTCTTACTTGAAATATGCTAGCCCCATTGCTGTAGGGACTGCCACCTCACCAATTTCAAAATTAACTATGAAAATTTGTTTTCAAAAAAGAGATTACAATTGTTGGCTTTTGACTCGGAACATGTCAAACTGTACAAAAAAATGTGTTATAAATAATCCAATTGAATCAAGCAGAGCATTAGTATTATTAATTTTTCTCAAAGTGCCAGGGTATCACAGCATTATGGATACTGTTTTCTAATATTGAAATCTGTTGTTTGAACTATTCAATCAAATTACACTTAAGCTTGCTTAGAAAGCATTGCATTTCCAGCTGTTACGAATTTTGTACATAGATAAATAATTTTAGTGCAATTATAAGCGAAATTGTATTTTTTTGTATAATGTAACATGAAAATCTAGAGGGAGAATGCTCTGCCATAAAAATAAGAATACAGGGTGAGTCTGTTTAACATTGAGTAAATGGTTATCTCGCTAATTTGGCGAGATGTGACTAATTTTTCTTACCCAATTTGGTGAGAAATCTCCGAAAGTTGTTAAACTTGGCAGCATTTTGGCCCAGTACCTGTATCACCATATTAGGTATTGTAATTGAATAACTGTAATTGATTTCATATGTAGCTGTAACCATAATTCAGCCTTCATATGCCTTCCAGTAATTTCGAGAAGCAGAAAGTACTAGAAATATCTCAGTGGCTTGTTGAAAACTATATAATGCCAGAGAGAGCATCTGTCCTCAGTTGTTGAGAGTTGTTAGTTCAGAGCTACTTTGGAGTATTGAGATGTTACCTTTTAGATGTGCTTTGCATTGCATTATATTCAGTGTTGTCAATAGTTCTTCTAAGTGTAACTTCTGATTGTACTCTGTAATACTGTAAACATCTGTACAGGTATTTTTGTTAAAAATTATAGAATGCTTAAGTATTTCTTTTGATAAAATAAATTGCATCAACCTAGATGATATGTGCATTCAATCTATTATGAACCCATATACATGTTACGGTTTTTGTATTTATTTATTTAGTTTGCTATTTTCAATAGAATTGTTATTAAATTGTTTCATTTCTCCTTGCAATGCTGCATGCGACTTATTTGAAGAGAAAGCTACACTAGAAAAATTAAAATACAGGAGCACTTACATTTAACATTTTAAATAGATATCTCATAATTGTACACTTATACTTATCGGAAAAAGTCGAGAAAATACCAGAATGTGCTCATGCTGATTAAAAAGCTTATAAAAAGCTGGAGGAAGAACATCTCAGCTCAGTTGCTTTATGAGTTTGTTTAGAAAACTGTTGTTGCTAACTCTAATGAATTCATGGCGAGATTGGATTAGCTTCTCTACATTTCTCTGTTTTGAATTAAGTTCTGTTGAATGCTTTTAGTAGTTTAAAAAGTAACTACTGTGAGATATTGGTATATTATACGAGATTTAAACATTTTGTTTTATTTGTTGTGATAATAATAAATTTTATACATTTTTCATCTGACTTGTGCATTCAATTCATAACGAACCTGTACGCACTCAACATGCATGCAACAGTTTTTTTGGTGTCGAAAGTGGGACTGAATACTGGTGACAAGAGTGATGGATGAGCAACTAAGACAGCTAGTGACTGCCTTTGCTGCATTCCAAGAAGAGGTGGAAAGAGCTGTCATCTTCCTCAAAGGAGACAGTGAAAGCTGTACAATAATCCATTAAAGAAGAGATGAAAACAGGTGAAGAAGAAAAGAAAAGAAATATTACTGCCATAATAAAAACAAATTTGATGCTGTGGAAGGCAGAATAGACATGGTTAAAGATAAAGTTGGAGAACTTCAAGAAACTTCAAGTTCTGCAGTTAAACAACAAATCGAAGATAGAGTTTCTGCTTCTGTTGCGAAGGAAGTTGACAATTTAAACAACTCCATAATGACACCTGGTCACAAATCTAACATCTTGAAATTTGAACATATTTCATTCCGGCCCTCTCTAAAGCTATCTAGATATGATGGAAAGATTTCCTGGCAAGTGTACAAGTTGCACTTCACCATAGTGGCAAACACAAATGGATGGGAATCCCAAGCTAAGGCCTGCCACCTTGCCACTTCTCTGAAAGCAGATGCAGTTGATATACTCGTAAGTCTGCCCAAAAACCAGAGAATAGATTTCGAAGCTCTGTCCAGCACATTGGACAGCTCTTCAGTGAGAAGTGTTTAAAACACTGTAACAGGCTTAAGTTAAATTCTCGTTATCAGAAGCACATGTAAACACTACAGGAGCTCGCCACAGATGTTGAAAGGTTGTCTCATCTCACTTTTTTGGACTGCCCAACAGAAACAAGGGAAATACTGTCTCTTCAGAACTTCATTGATGGTATCCGGGATCCTGAGATACAGAAAGCCCTGCGAATGACAGATGTAAAAGATTTAAAAAGCACTGTGTATGCTATGAAATTCGAGGCAGGCCAGCAAGTAACTCGTAGAGCCTGACACCCAATCAGAGCTGCTCAAGCCAGGAGCCAGTGGACCAACTGACTGCTGTTCTAGACAATTTAATTGAGCAAATCAATGTCTTGACATAGAATAGAAGGGGCAACAAACTTATTCTAAAGTTAAAACACAATAACACGCTGAACAAATACTAATTCAGAAGTCAAACAACAAAAATCAGCGTTATATTTACAAAATTTTCACAGGATTAGTTTCGATGGTTTTACCGAACCACCATCCTCAGCTGCAAAACCGCAAATGAACAAGATAGGAAATAATGACCAGACAAGATAAGAAAGCCTGGACAAGAATAAGCAAGTGGCGCCATCTGTTGGTGAAACTAGAACTAAAACATAATTTCTTTAAAGGCCGAAGGCAAATTTGGATCGGAATTAGGATCGTTAACTAGAACAGAAAGATTTTTATGAATGTGAAATGCCTCTAGAAAATCCAGTTCTCCAATGGAAGATGTTTTTTGAATAATTTTGGCAGCAGAGAAATTGAAAGTGTGATTTTTGGACCAACAATATTGAGCAACAGAAGACTTCTGTGTTTCCTTTTTTCTAACATATGCCTCATGTTCCTTGACGCAAAATTTTAAGGCTCTCTTAGTTTGGCCAATGTAAATTAAACCACACTGGCAAGGAATCCTATAAATACCCCAGGAATTCATATCCGGAATGGGGTCTTTGAGTATGGAACTCGGAATTTTATTGATGGGAGAATAAACAACCCGAAAGTTAAATTTCTGCAAAATATGTGCAACTTTATAGCTAATTGATGGAAAGAAGGGAATGGCAATAGAATTTTTATAATCTCCTAAAACAATATCTAAAAATCTTAAATCTTTCTATAATTGAGTCGGGTTTCAAGAATTCTGTTAAATTGCAAGCTTGCCTTACTTCGGTCTGTCATAAGGGATACACGTCAACAATTGTCCAAAATGGAACATGAACTCTATAAGCTTCATCTGGAACTCACTAAATCATATCCAAAATTCACTGCCCTTGAACAAAAGTCTTGGTCTAGAACGGAGAATGCAGTTAACCGTCATAAAAACACCCTTGCAGTTAAATTCGAAAAACTTCTTTTACAGTCTTCCAGTTCAAGTAGTTCAAAAAATCTTCCCATTGTAAACATCAAGCCAATAGTTAATATTTCTAAGGTTAGTCTTTCAGAAGAACAA